AATTTAGGTTTATTTCGATTATTTTTGTGGTGGTTACAAGGTAGGTCGACTTGACCAATCCTGTTTTGAGATAGGGTAGAGAAAATAACAGAAAAGTATTTTTAATTTTAACATAAAAATTACTTTGCACACAAACTATTCAAAACAAATACTCAATATGTTCATGAACAAATCTTCACTTTATTTTATTAAAAACACTTCACTAAAATGACTTTTTGTATGTGAAAGACTTGTAATATTAACAGAAAGACTGTGAAATTTCGTGAAGATATACCCACTATATTGAAAGTTATAAGTACTAAATCTACAAATGTCACATGGTTGGTCAAATTAACCGAGCCCGTATTGAGAGTGTTAAATAACATCATAAGTAATTTTTAAGTCTGAACATAAAACACATATATCAATAAAGAAATTTACTTTTTCTCTATTAGTATCCAGAATATTTTATTTTAGGTTTCTCAAATCTAAGATTAAATATCAGGCAAGAATGCATGTTGATTTTAATATTAGACATCTTTGAGACAGTACTAAATATTATAACAAATTTACAATCAATTAGTGGCAGAAAATTCTGGCATGTGGCTAAAGTAAAATTGTTAAGATCAGCATTATTTTGAAAGTAACAAAAATCTTGGCAAGAACATCATACATTTGAATTCTAAAGCTATACACTTACTATTAGTTACTAAAAATATTTCTTCATTTTTAACCAATCTGATATCCATCACATAATCCTGTTTTTCATCACAAAAAGATTCAACCATCATCTTCAATACTTCCATGGTGATAAGTCAGAGCAAAATTGTTTGTATTCATACCAAAGCTTGCTGTTAGACTGCAAAGGAACATGGTAAGATTAGAACTAGAATCCTTCTGAAAAGGTTATTACAAATTTTCATCAAATCTCAAAATTCACATTATCTTAATAACTTTCATACTATTTCATAAGTTTCAAATCTTTATACTGTAATTATTACAAATCCTATTTATCTGAAATTAACTGCTTTTGAAACAAAATGTGTAGTTAGTAACTAACAGTTTCACTGTAATACTGTAACTACTGACATACTAAATTTTCTGTCTCTTCATACAATTTTGAACTTGAAATTATTAAGCACTTTGATCTTAAATGGCATCATAAGTAAATCTTATGTCCATACCTAAATCACAAACATACTGTAATAAAATCCATTGTTTAGATTAGACAATACATTAAAGTATGAATAAATCTGGTCTAATTATAAAATCTTTTTTGACAAAAGTTGTTTAAAAAATAAATTTGTATTGTTATTGTTTATAACTTTAGTTCTTGACCTTTCATCACAAAAACAGTGTAACAAAATCAAAACAAATCCAAATAATTGTGATAAACCTAAAAAAATAATTATGATCTTTATTTATGAAAATATTATAAACCTTTAATTCAAGAAGTTGTTGATACTGATAGAAGTTTAGAGAGAACACATGAAAAGAATTAATATCTACAGAAACTGTGCCATATGAGAGACAGATAAATCAAACAGCTTAAAGTTTACTGTACTAAACATAGTTTAAGCTGCAACCAATGACAGCTAGGCTTTTGTTTTCCCTTTTAAGTGCTTCCTATCTAGCTAGAGCTAGACATAATTAAGCTAACAAAGGAAAACAATCTCTACAACAAAAGTGTAACAATAAAAACCTGGAAATAATAAAACTAGATATATTAAACATTCTAACCAATACAGAGTATACCTCACATATGGAACACACAAATACTAGATTTCATCTTTAAGAACTGTCAAATATTAACTTATCATAACATTTTTATATTAAAGCTGTCTTACCATTGTGACACTGGTCATATTAGTAGCTTGTAATAAATCTATATAAATATTATGGTACTGTCCATTGTACGTCCATGTAACTAATTTACAGTGTGTGTGGATGGATCTTCACCAAAATTGGTATGGAGGTTCATTAGGTCCATGCAAGGGGGTACATACAAATTTCCAGTTTTGCATTTTGCAGTTTTTTTACCACTTCTTCACTCCCTGTGGATAGATCTTCACTAAATTTGGCATGAAGGTTTGGTGAGTCCATGCAAAGATATGTGCAAAGTTGCAATTTTATATTTGTGTTCTGCAGTTTTTATGGACATTTTAGCATTTTTTTATAATTACATATAAGGGAAGCAACTTTTCATTTCCTAAAATACCTTTTATTAATTATGAATTTACATAACTTCCATCCAGGGGACGGGTACTCCAACCATTAGATAATATGTTAAGTTCAGACTACACTATTATTTAGATATATGAGGTAAACAAAAATAACAGGCATCAATATGACTAGTTATGTAAGTTATGGCCACTAGGCCATACCCTCACAATCATGAGTTGTGTACAAGCAGAATGCAAGCATGCATACAAAATCATGCAGTCAATACAATAGAAGTAGCGATAAATAAGGTCTCATTTGAAGCTAAATAAGTTCATTTGAGTTATGGCCAAGATACTAAGGCTATATGCTATCATCCCTAATTTTGAACTGTTGACCAGAGGAAAGATAACAGGTTGACAGCACCCACCACAAACTCTTGGGCTACTTTTTACAAATGAATAAGACTGACCAGAACACAATTACACCCCCAGAATGACAGAATGGTCCAGTGGTTAGTATGGTTGAATCATGAATGGAGGGGTGTTATAAACTTGTGGCCAATTACACTATTTTTTTGGTAAAAAGAGTAATCCACAAGCTGACAATAAGTGTTGCAGGTCACTTATCTTCTCCCTGGTTAGCATTTCAAAATTAGGAACTGTGGCAGATAGCCTTAGTAGCCATAACTCAAAAACAAAGAAAGAAATTATTGTACACATGGCTGAAAGGGTGAGCATGGTTGGTGGGAATGGGAATCAAAACCATGACCTTCTGAATCATGAGGTAACCACCCTAATCATTAGCCATGTCAACTCGTAGCTTAATAAATTTTATCAGAAAAACAATAATGAGGCAGGAATATCTAACAATGATCCTAGTGAATTCAGATGTTTATTCCACACGGGGACATCTGAGAGCTGGTGGTGGCTGTATAAAACCTGTTTATCCATGACTACAGCTAGACATTAGAGATATTTGCTAATCTATTAATTGATAGTCTCATTAGTCAATTATGTTTAATTAATTGATTCACTCAGTGTTCCTCAAAACATGGCGCATACAAGCAAAATAAAACATTGGCAGTGGGTGCTGCCAGACAGTTGCTTTCCCTATAGTCAAATTATTGACAGTAGCAGATAGTCTTAGTAGCTTTGCAATAACAAAGACAGAGCAAGTAAGTTTGGTGGCAATGGGAACCAAACCTGAGACCCTCAAATCACAACCTCCTTCCCCTGAATCACCAAGAATGAACAAACTTAAAATAAAGGTATAAATTGGGAAAAGTACAAATAGCCCATTACTTATCTTTCTCTTAACAACAAACATAATAACAATATTTCAATTATTTGGATAACTGGAATAACCACAACTAGTAATAATTAGAACCCCCTAATTTTAATTAGTTGATTAATTTTGTGACAGTTGATTTAATAGTAATTTTAATTAACCGACTCTTTGAATAATCAAACACAGTAATACTTGGAAATACTAATTATGATTAACCGATTCAATAGTAATTTCAATTATTAATCAATTAGCAAATGTGAAACTAATTGATATAATCATTGCTCATAGGTTATTGATTATATTGATTAAATCAACCAGCTCTATCCACGAATGTCTCCCAAGGTACCTTTTAGGCCATCTTCTACTTGGTTTGTGCCTGTGAGGTCTTGGTGAAGATTGAATGTCCCAAATGAAAAGTCATTTTATGATGGGATGCATGGTCATTACACTGCAATGTTCAACTGAAAAATTTTGATTTTAAGTGCTGTTGGTGTTCAGCAAAACTGCTGAGCCTTGCAAGATGTAATAGGGCTTTGATGGGAGTGGTTGAAGTACATCCAGTGGTCAGTCTAGAAAAAGGTGTTTTGTATCTTTTCAATCTTATCTAGCTGCCTATCATTCATATTGATCATTGGAAATGCATAATCCAGGATGGAAATGAGGAAGCTTTGTTGATTACCAGATGAAACATAAAAGAACATAAAAGAGAAATAAAAGTTAAAAGGGTAAAATTAACAAACCAAAGAATTTCATGGAAATGAAAGAAATGTCATAAGCATATGTTTGCCCACCCTCTAATACTGGAAGTGTCAACAAGTGAGAAGTAAATAAAGAATTTCATTAAAAACAGTTTAAATCTGCATAGTGGTAAAGAAGTTTGAGAATAAACAGATTATAGGATAGATAAGACAAACAGAAAACTGGAAAAAGTTTTAGAATGCAAGTTAAATAACAGTTAAAGATAAGCCTATAATATTTAAAGATACACTATATTCAATAATAAGCATAGTAGGGCTAAAGATGAAATGGAAGAAAGTGAAATAATGGTTGTTACTGAAAGTTGGTTAGATTTGGAGAACAATGACATACTAGGAACTATTTTGACATTCCAAGTTAATAGTGAAAACCAGTTTACAAGAGGGGTGGGGTGGCTCTACACATAAGAGATGAGTTGTAGCCTGTTGGTAGTGAACACATAACAGTAGCCAAGTACAGTGTAGTTGAATATATGTGGATTATAATCAGAGGTTTCAATGGTTGATTTTTTTATTATTATTGGCAACTGTTATAGTACACCTGATCAGATAGGTCAAAAGAATAACCCATGGTATAATGAGATCAGGGCTGTTCATAAAATGGATTTTGAATCAGTAATCACACAAGACTTTCATACACTATGACTGGGGTTGTATGAAATGATTCAAGATGGTTTTCTTTTATGACCTTTTCAAAACTTTCATGTCTACACCTTCACTTCTTAACTAATTTCTTATGGCAATAATGAAAAGCTTTATTACAGCAACCACCATTGGTTTTATTTTGTGTTAGTTCAAGCTCTCAATATATGTAATGCAGGCAATATAACAGTTCCTTACAGAGTATAAAATTACATCATTATAGTTAAATTAAAACTTCTGAGCAAAAGCAAAGTAGTATATATGTTAACCACAATACATCTGCCATGTCTAATGCTGATAAGGCCTTTCACACAATATCAAGGCTCATTAGGCTGGCTGGGATATGAAAGACACAGTAGTGATCTCAGCTCAGTAGGTGAGTAGCCTTGTTCCTCACTTACATTTTTTTTAATATACATTTCCTTGTACAACAGTTATGTAAGTTGTGTTATTAATGAGTGAATGTCAGGTACTTTTCATATAATGTTAAATATCATGCATCATACTATTATTGCAATAAATAAATAACTTAAAAATGTTTTTTGTTGTATTACTTTACATTGTATTTGGGTATTAAAATTGTTTTTTTTCCTAGCCAAAATTGTAACTTGTTTTCCTGTGACTTTATTTCTGGTCCCCTTAACAACAGCACATTACTTGGATAGCTCAAGAAAGTCATCTACTAGAACACCATGATTCCTTTCTTCCACAACAATGTTAAGGTTATTCACATCAAAATTACACTTATAATTCAAATTACAATACCTCAAATGCATTACCTTGCATTTACTATAATTAAAACTCATCTGCCGTTTATTCGCCCAATTCACCAAATAATCCAAATCCTTTCATAAACCAGCAGTATCAAAGACCTTAGTTTTAGTAGACTAATGTTTTGTAAAATATAGTCACATTTCAATTACTATACATTATATATGTATATAGATTATTGCAATTTAGAAATAAGTTC